TCTCGCGTTTTGCCATCAACCACCTACTCAACTATCAAGTTGATCAGTCTTCAGTAGTATAGTGGTCAGTATTTCCGCTTGTCATCTTGCAAAAGACAACTCGCGGGAGACCGGGGTTCAATTCCCCGCTGGAGAGCTTTCCTTTTTGCTCTTCCTACTTCCCCGTGCCTACCCATAGGTAGATGTGACGTTGCAGACCTGGGTAGTCGGCGCTGACACGTGATTAGTGATCATGTACATGCTTTTTGCATGTCGCGGAAGCGAGGCATAGTGTATAATAGTGTTAGAGTAGTCTTGGGATGCACGCGAAGTGTATGCGGTATGTCAAATGTTGTTTTTGCAATAAAGTCGACTTGGTGGCTCGGTTAGGTCCGCGGGTTTGAAAATAGACCGCGGAAGCTAGGGGCTTGTAGTCTAAGGGTGCATAAGAAGTGTATTATGTACATGGGATGTGGTATGTTGTTTTTGTTGGAAGGGTGTTTGGGGGGGATTTGGTCCGTGGTTTTGGGATGGGCAGCGACCCGTGGACCGCGCAAGTGTGTTATGCGAGGTGGAAGACGCAGAAGACTAGGTATATGCTATTTAGATGGTGCTTTTGGGGACTAGAATTGTGCGCTTCGTGGGAGATACATGTGCTTCTTCAGTCTGGACTTGGGTGGAATCTAGATACATCCGGAGGTTCAGGCAGGCGCGTTAGGGACACGGCAGCGCGATGTTTGGGGAGCCCCGGCCGGAGGTGTCCCGCCTGGCCGCCTGCATCGCGAGTCCCCAACCATCACCTACGCGACATCTGGACTACTGTACTTCTTACGAAACCTGCATGATATCTATGTTTGAAGCGCATTAATTATTAGGTCCGCAGATGCCAGACGCAACACGACAACGCTATGTAAAAGCAACCACCGTCAACCTTGGAAAGACGTGGCACAGTTGCGTTGCTTGGACCTGCCGGCCACCTTTCCCAGCTGCCAAACGCTGGCACGCATCGATGTCATCAAACTCCCAACCTGCAGCACATTGAGAGGAAGGTCGCGCGAATCCCTTAAACAGGAAACACTGGAGAGTATACACGATACTCCTCCATAGTCACAAACCGCAGTCCCAGACACACCGCAGTAACCTTCCAGTTTCCCTTTTCGGGAGTCGCGGACACAGGCGCGGATGCCTCGTCCCAGCTTCCAGACTCGACCTTTTTTAGCGGGTCTGAATAGACGTCTATTCTTGCGAAGAGGGAGATGTTGAGCCTGCAGAGGTAGAGGTACGAAGTCAGTACATGTCTCACATGCACTTCGTACAGTCAGAACTTACCTAGGTCGCGGGCGATATTACCCACACTACTTCGTCGCCCATGTCCGGCTTGCTGTGTCACGTTGAGAGAGTCTGAGGAAGCAGCAATGTCGGTGCCATCAGTGCTGCGCCTCATATCAGGCGAGTTACTGTGGATCAGAAGCATGTCCTTCTCGACGACATCTAAGACATCGAGTAATTCGCGTTTGGATTTACTCTTGTTTCGCATCTCCTGGACCATCTAGCAAACGATCGTCAGCCTTCGCTACGTGACGGTAGTATATATGCACTGACCTTTGTCACAGGCGGGTTAGGCTCTGCGGAGAGTTTCCCCAACTTCTCTTCGCAGTTGATACGAAAGAAGCATGGACTCCCAGTACCAGATTCACATTTTCGCTCATGCCTGAAGACCTTAAGGTCCTCGTGACCACCAAAGTACCAGCACACGAACTCCAAAAACACACATCCAAGTGCCCAGACATCGCATTGGAGGCTGATGATACCCTGCGGTAGTCGACACTCGGGTGATTGATACGACTCTGAGCAAGGCATGATTATCTTGTTTCTCACCGAAATACCTTCTTTGTCGCTGAAGTGCGCGGTTCCGAAGTCAGATAGTTGCAAAGTGCCAAAGTTCGGGGTTGACGATTCAGTAGAAGATGTATGGGGAAACCAAAGAATGTTGTTCGGCTTTATGTCTCCGTGCCGGCCAAGCAGAATCTTGGACTCCCGCTGCCCGACGGATCCAACCGATTGTGAGCGACTTGGCACATCTTCAGTCTCTGATACTGCGGAGGTGATCGTGGAAAGTACAAATGTTCCCGAGTAGGTTGGGTATTTGTGCATGTAAGAGACCGCCCCAGCTAGACCGCAACATTGTTGCCGCAGCCAGGTAGCTAGTGCCGCATCGTTACAAAACGATCGAGGGTCTTTTGCCCAAAACTGATCAAGGTTCATTTCGGCCCAAGGAAAAATCAGGAAAATGTGCTCATCTTGCTCGTAGGTCGCCAGTAGTGATATCACATGATCGTGAGCATGTCGCGGCTTTTTGAAACTCTGGAGCACCTTTAATTCCTTCACGCCCCCTGGGCTGTTTTTAAACATCTGTTTTACCGCAACCACATTATTGGGAGCCTAGACAAGATTAACTTAGTTATAACACATAATGTCGATGTTCATTTACCTTCGTTCTGTCGAAGTTGTGATGATGGGGATGGATCTTAGCTTTGTATACTCTCCCGAACCCACCTTCACGACCCGTATCCTCCCAAGATGTGAACGGAATGACTAGATCCTTCGGCGCTTTGAGATGTGAGAATTTTCTGCCGTCTAGCCCCCAGAAAAAGGGTGCAAGAACCCACCACTGGCATTTGAGGAATCGACTTCTGTCGCGTGGCCATATGAGGCACTTGCGTGGCAAGTTGCGCCGCAGTCCCAAGATATCATTCCCAGGGCCAAGAGGAAGGTCGGCATCCGAGACTTGTTGGTCAACGAAAGACCATATTCTACTCGGCTGACCTATGAACAAAAGGACTGCGAAAATCTGTTTGTAACATGCTCTTTCAGGTGGCACTCTAGTGCCATCATAGGAACGCCGCGCCTGCTCGTTCTGTACACCCTCTTCCTCCAAAGGCAAATCGATCCTAACATCAAATGATAACCGAAAGGTACGCCGCCAAATCTTCGTCGGAAGATATACTGCCTTTCTTGACAGTTCACGATCTACTGACGTCTGCGTCACAAGATCGTCTAAATTGCGCATCGGAAGGAAATCTTGATTATTGCGAGGCGCGCGTGTTAAGGCTGCTCGAAGCTGATCATATAGTCGAGATGGATCGAACACAGGAGGTCGACGTTCCGCTCTCTCACGATCTGGTGAGGTGGCATGAGTGGCAGAGCGAGTCCTCAGTAAAGTCGTCTCGTCCTCAGATTCTGTCGGTATTGTAGCGGAGAGGAGGGCACTTTCCGAATGACCCCTTCTGTGACGACCCACGCCTCGAATCAGATCGCTGAGACGATGACTTTTGCGCTTATGGTGAGATAATGTCGGGGATCTGTTCTCTTCGCCCATCTTGGCTGCTGCTGCTGCTGCCCGATTGAAACCGCGCTCATCAGCTGTGTAACGTTCCTCCGAATCGCACTGTGTAATCTTGTGTAAGCCACTTTTCGTCAAACACTGTGCTATACCTAACTAATTCACATTAAAGATACTTCCTCAACCCGAGCAACGGTATATCCCGCGAATGAACCACGAAAGACTGTTTGTGAAATATACTTTCGTTCGGCCTATCTGTTGTCAAGACATGGATCCTCTGCACTTCCAGCTGGCTAGCCTGATCGCTCTGTGACATGACCTCGGGACGCTTTGCTGCTCGCTTATCCTAGCTGCGAACCACCAACAGCGGTAGATTGGCTGTGGTGTATGGCTTGGATGGCTGGAGGACCTCCAGCCTAGACCCCACAATTGCCGCACGGGACGCACTTCGTGCCGCTTACCAGCCGCCCTCCCATTCTGCCTTCCCGCTGCCTCTTTTTAAATCCCATAACACCCACTTAAACGTTGCCGCCGCACACCCAGTCCAGCCACAATATTGCGCATGCGCGCCCGATCACCAACGCGCGCATATAGTAATCTATGTCCGTCTGGAGATCTTATCTATGACCTCCAATTTGCTGAACAGAGCCTCATTGCTTACAGCACCGGTGAGAGAATACCTAGGTAGCTGTCATCATGCCAGGATCCCTGCAGCCCCCGACTGGGGTCGTTGTCCCTCTGCAAATTCGTAGAAGCGGGTTCAGTTGCCAGCAGATCGATACCAAGGAGGGGATGAGCCGCAAAAGCTGATTCGAAGTTCTTTCGCTGCTTAAATGGTTGCGTTGGGGCCTGAGATTTCGTGTCTCCACAATCCCGATACTACCTAGATGGTTACGCCTGACTTCACATCAGCCTATGAACTAGCAGCACATCAAATCAAAAACGGTCTGAACGGAAAATATGTCTGCAGACGGCAAAGAGGAGACTGAAAGCGAGCCCAAAGATGCACAAGAAGCGGCGATGACAGACTTCGAACAAGGACTCTCTTCAGACACGTGCAACTGTGCGACACAATTGTACGAAGCAATGAATGTGTCCTTGAGAGTCAGCAAGTTTGACAAAACAGACGGCGAACAATTCCTCCCCCAAGACGCCTTCGAACGCATTTGGTCGGCAATCGAAGCAGATGAGGACAGCGGAACCCAACACATGCTCAAGCTCATGGATATCCAACCGTATGAGTCTAGCGAAGACGACAGAAGACTCGCGAAGTACATTCTGAAGGATGCGAAGAAGATATTCCTTATCGCAATCTGGATGAACCTTAGGCAACTCCAAGCCGCAATGGAACTCTTCCGAGTTGCACAATTCTGTGATGAGGACCTGCCAATTGAAGAGTGGTCAGGGCAAAGATTCAAGTCAACATCGGAGACTCACAAATTCGTGCAAATGGAGGAATCTCAAAGCGCTAGCTCGAGGCGCATATGGGATATGCGTTCCATCACTGATTTCCAAAGCGACCAATGGCCTTTTTTGGCTCCGAAAATCTCGACAAAAATCCAAACTTGCAATTTTGACAATAAATGCCCGATCCCCTTTGTCGCCAAGAGCACGAAACAATGCAGCGGCGCACATGGCATCGTGAACAGGTACACCATTCATCATGCGCACTTCGAGAATGTACTCCGTCCGGTAAACTCACCTCTTTGTCATCTCAATGCGGTTCAAGCTAACTGACTATCCTAGAACGAGAGTGCGCCTTACGCGGTCGCCGTGAAGACTTTCAGGAAAGGCACCAACGTTGCCGCTGATGTGAGGCGAGAAGTGGACGCTTTAGCAAGGATGAACCAGCTCGAAGAGGACCATATCGTTCTTTTCATGACGTCATTCCAACGTGGTACGCAAGAGAGCCCAGAATACTACGTCTTGTTCGAATGGGCAGATGGTGGAAACCTCAGCGACTTTTGGAAACATTACGACCCGGACCGAACGGCCTCACTCTTGAAGTGGGTAATAGAGCAGTTGTGTGGACTTGCAAAAGCCCTGTCAAGAGCGCACAATCTTGAGAACGGCGCTTCCTACCGTCACGGCGACATAAAACCAGGCAATATTCTCTGGTTCCGGGGGAGTGCTGAGAGTGGCGAATACGGTATTCTCAAGATAGGCGATTGGGGCGAGGCAAAGATTCACGAGGACATTACTGCTTTGCGCCACGGGGATACAACTGCCAAGTACGGTTCGCGAAGATATGAACCTCCAGAGACCGGCCTGCAGTCGCTGCTACCGGAAGGCTCTCGGCACGTACGTTCTCGGCTATATGACGTATGGGGCATGGGCTGCATCATGCTCGAATTCACCATTTGGCTTCTATACGGCCTTGAAGAGCTTAGCGCGTTCAACAAGAGTAATTTAGGACACTTCGGTATTTCATATATGTTTTACGAGATCAGTGGCGAAAGGGCCGTGAAGATACATCGGGCTGTCGAACGCTGGATGAAGCACATGGCAAACGACCCCTCATGTAGCCCAGGTGTAACGGCCCTCGGAGATCTTCTACAAATTGTTCGCACAGGTCTTTTGGTCGTCAAGCTTCCCGAAGCCATCGATCCAAAACCGCAAGCTGACGTCGAGTTGCCTCCGAACAAGGACAATGATAGTCCATTCATCAGCGTCACCGAGCCAAACTCCTCGGATTCGGTCGCGGATCATGCACCGACAGAACTGGGGACTAGGTTCCGTGCCACTGACCTTGAGAGGAGTCTGCGTCGAATGACTAAGAATGGAGTAGTTGAACGCTACTGGCGCCGAGACCAAAACCCAAGGCCGCCACCAGTAGAAACTGCCGGTTCAGCTGATCTACTGGCGCCTCCCACTAGGCGAAAGTCCCACGCGACTGGTGCTCGTGTCTCCCCATACGATATGACCGACTATGCGCACCCATCTTTGGATCCAGAGGAGTGGGAGTTTGTACTCGATAACCAATTTGTTACGAGGCTAAGTTCCCCGCTGCGGAATGCCACAACTGTGCTTTCGCATGAAGCTCCTCTGTCGGCGCAATCGTGTGGCGTTTGCAAAGATTTCGAGGCGCGACTGCCAGATGCAAATTTTGCAATTACTTATGAGACTCAAACACTCCGACAGAACGCACAAGATGAGCGCTGCAATCTGTGCCGCCTGATATGGCAGACCTGCGGGGACAAGATACGCGGACAAAGTGAGAGGGTACAGTTCCAAAGGGTGGGTTCTACTCTGCGTATGACAGGCACGAAGCAGCCGGTACTTACCGTACTACGGAGCGACGGTAAGCCACCGCTCTGACGTTCGGATGACCATCCTGTGCTCACTGTTATCACCGGAATAGATACTAGGACCCGTGCGCTTGATGTTCAGATCGGTCTCCCTGAGCTTTCAGAGGCAGGTACGGATCTGCATTTTGGTTTAATACGAGGTTGGCTTCATGACTGTGATACCACACACTTCGAGCCTATGTGTACATCTTCCACGGACACAAGGCTGACCCTAAATGCAAGTCCCAGGTTACCGACCCGTCTAATCCACGTCGGAAGAAATGGTGAAGATGTTGTCAAGCTCCGGAAGACACGATCTGAGACCAAAGGTGATTGGATAGCACTTTCTTATCGTTGGGGCGACTCTCCTCCGTTCTCCACCACTCGACGAAACCTTGATAAGCATACTGCAGGAATGACTTTGGCAACGTTGCCCCGTACGTTCCAAGATGCTATCAAGGTGACTCGCGCTCTTGGAAAAGACTATCTCTGGATAGACTCGATTTGCATCATACAAGGCGAGGACAGTGATTTCAGTGTCGAGTCAAAAAGAATGGAAGATGTATACAGCGGTGCATACTGCGTGTTAGCCGCCAGCTGCGCTACTGATCAGAGATCTGGGTTCTTACTACCTCGGGTGGGAAGGAAATATGTTGCTCTAAACTCTACTGCAGACGGCAAAGGAGGTGCAATTTATGTTTGCAGTATGATTGAGGATTTCAGAGGTCATGTATTACAAGGTGCCCTACACAAGCGCGGATGGGTGTTACAGGAGCATGCCTTAGCCCGACGCACGGTATTCTTCACTGAGCATCAAACGTATTGGGAATGCGGTCACGGCGTCCGATGCGAGACTATGGTGAAGATGAGAAAGTGAGTGCTGTATATTGGCTTTGCTTAGTGCAAGCCGTTGGCTGGAGCAAGGCTGACAATGTGAACAGCGAGTCTGCTGCTTTGCTTGGGGATCCGGACTTCCCCAAGATTCTCGACCCAGCAACCTACGGTGAACGCATTATGAGATTTCAGAAACTGTATAAACAGTATTCTCGACTGGATCTTTCATCAAATTACGACAGGCCTACCGCTATAGACGGCTTACAGCAGCGTCTCATCAGGACGATGGGCGTACATGGGGGATTCGGCGTGTTTCATGATCCCAATAAGAGTAGCCTCCTTCACCGTAGCCTCTTATGGCATCGTGGAGCGGACATAGAACGACTGAAACCGATCGCTTTCCCAAGCGATGAAGAACGCGTCCCATCTTGGTCATGGATGTCAGTCTCTGGTGGAATCGACTACCTCACTTTGGAATGGCGTCAGTATGATTGGCAAAAGATACAAGCCCCATGGCCCCATTCGTCAGGCAAGACTCCTCACGAGTTCGGTGGCCTGTCGCGAGCTTTCGATCTCTCGAACGCCATACCGAATGAGTATGACCTTGTATGCGACGACCCCAGAAATTACGATGCTTCGGAGCCGATGGCCATTGTTTTGGGCATCGAAAGGGGACCAAAAGCAGATCAAGTCAAGAAGCATTATGTGCTCGTGGTCAAATCTATCACGACTTCCAGTGCGAATGAACCAACATCGTATAAAAGAATCGGAGCAGGTTATGTACTGGGCAAATATTTGAGAGGAGACCCAGAGCCGTGTTGGCTGATATGATTGGTAGTCGCGGCAGTCGCGGCTTTTGGTCCGCCAACGCAGAGTATCTAGTGCGAAGAGGGATAGATGAGAGCAGTTTGCACGTATGACTTACTGGCTCTATACACTGAAAGGGCCATTATCTAAGCTATAGCTGGTGCTAGTGGTGTTCTGATATACAGAAGTCTTCAACGCTGAGACCAAACAGTACTGCAATGCACACTGTTGTACAACGTGTGATGGCCTTGCACCGCAGAGAGCTTTCCCCGTTTATCTGGCCGACAGGTACGTCGTGAAATGGAGGCTCTCGAATCGCTATGCCGGCTCATTAGCGAGTATGCACCACCAATCTCGCTGCGTATCAGGCGACGCTGATGCGGGGTCGATTGGGCTGTGTAAAAGGCTGACACAGGCTACCCCTCCACCTTTCTTACAGCATCATCTGCCCTGCCCGCTTGTCGCAGACTTGACCCCCGACATTTTATCTTCCTACTTCGACTTGTTGGAAGTAACACGTTACAAACCCCTAACCACATCGTTCGACACAGAGCAGTCTGTGCACATGGCTTCTGCAAGGTGCATGACCACTAATTGCCCAAACTGGGCCGCAACGGGAGAGAGCTTGTGTCACGAGTGCATGGACAACCAAAATGGTCACCAGTGAGTTTTCTTTCACATGTCGAGTGTTCAGGATATGATGTACGCGTGTTGTTGAGCGTGGGTGTCTCGTTTAGCCTGCTGACTCGAATGTAGTGTATCGCATAACTATTGGATGCACACCTCTTGTTCCACGATATCTCCGAACTCTCGACCTCTGTTCTTGCTATCAATGGACAGCCACTCGAACGATCTGACATGTCGCTCCTCGCTTGGGAAATCAAACTCGCAGCCGCTTCCACGATAAACTTTACCTGATCCTACACCGATACGTCGATAGTTGTTGGAACCATCTTGCAATCTTGCGAGGATCAAGAAGTTATGATAGAGGTATCTGTGGTGATGGATGGAGTAAAGACTCAGAAGTATGACCGACTCCTCTCGTTCTTGATCGAGAGCGTCGTCATGCGTTCTACTTCGTAACTGATCTGAAGTGCCTGGAGTTTCGTTTGCATGGTAATCCGGTATAGACGCATCAATAGAGAATTCACATATGGCCCTCTTATCTTTGTTTTGCGAGTAGATCGCGCCGTCGATGCAGATTGTATAGACTTCGGAGTCCTGAGAAGATCGCCGCAAAAGAGCTGCTACAGTGTGGCCTCGTATAGTCAATGAGCGTTTCAAAGCTCTGCTGTATTGATTGCCGCCACCAGTATCGTAGTAAAGGTCGACCAGTGTTGCGTGCTCGATTCGTGAGCCGGGATATGAGTGGCGCGCAAACCGAAAGTTGACAGCACCAGACGACGTGGCCCACGACCAACTCGGGGCAAACCAGGTCGTGGATCTCAGAACTGGTTCCATATCGCGTTGCCAGACCAGATCATACAGTAAGGTTTCTTTCCATCCACCTGCAAGAAACGTATATCCTGTCGCCGCCCCAAATTTGTTCGCCAGACCACTCAGAGCTGGGAACCTGTCCTTCTGGAACTTCAGCTTGCGGGTCGAGTACTCTTCAACCGTTTGGCTCCAACTTTTAGAGAATCTTACGGTTTTGTTCGTGCTCGTTTTTCCAGCTGATATGGGGGACAGTGGGTGTACTGGGAGTGGATTACTGTGACACTCGCACGACTTTGATGCTCTACAGGTCCATTGTAGCTCTGCTCCAGTGAAGGCTATCAGCCTTCGTGAAAGTAACTTCTCTTGAAGACCCCACGCCCGTGTATCTAGTGGATCAATGTCTTTCGATCGTCCAGTCTTGGCATGTATCCCTCGAGTGATCTTGTTCCTTGCTTTGAATAGAACCTCCATAAGGCCTCCGTTGAGCTCACTAAAGAGTTCCAATCCTTCGTGTGTTATCTCCCGTTCCTGAAACAAAGAGGAGTGTGGGTCTGTCGACAAAGAGGCTGCTATGGTAATGGCAGCTCCTTCGTAAATCTGACCCATTTTTGCAGCTTGCTCTTCCCAGTCTGCGGGGCTGTCTTGAATTATGCATAGAGTATCGATCCAGAGATATGGAATATCAAGACTATGCGCTAGTGCTGCTGCATCCTGGAAAGCTATAGGAAGCTTGTCTCCGTCGAACCCGAGCTTCATCTCTTCATAGTTTCCGGTGTTAGTCATGGCAAATCCCCCAATACCCCAAGAGTACGACAATGTGGCATAACGGCCTTTTGTATCAGCTGCGGGCTCGACTATACAGTATCGAGGCTTAGATATATCGACAACCCGTTTTGGGAGGCAGCTTGCTACCTCACACTCTCCCTTATGCTCGGTGAGACAAGTGTAGAAATTCTCCCTCAGAAAGTTCACTGAAGCTAGGAGACTAGATTCTCTTGGAACGTCGTTGCCTACTATTGGATAAGTGTGCCCTGTGTTTGCTACGTGGTGGTAGTTTAGCAACGGTTATTCACAGAGGAACTCTTAGGCAAACTTACTTGGACATGGATAGATCTCTATGACCTGGTAAGAGTCTTTTCCATCTGACGCGTGCAGCTCCACTGGAGACTCAGGATAAAGCAGAAGTTTGACCGGCATTTCTGTAGTCACATAGTCCAACAGTTGAAAGCTCTGCCGAACAGCATCACAGAAAATACATCCCCGTTCAGCCGATTTGCTGAAGTCATCGTAAGAACGATCGGGTAGAACGGTAGGCCTTTGATGATGAAGGTTTCGGTGGCTGTCCTTGTCGAAGAACCCGAAACTCGTGCAAGTCGAACAACGCACGTCTGCGATTCTGTTGTCGAGCCCTGAATCCATATCGCGTAGTTAGGTACGGTTCTGTGTGAGATGATTTCGTTCGTGAGAAGCGCTTATGGAAAGTGAGGGGTGTAGATGGAGGACATACCACTACACAGCCTCCCTGCTATTTCCACACCGGAATGCGCGCTAATCCTGGCAAATGGTAGACACGCCACCAACCCCAGAAAAGGTCTAGGGTGCTCACACACAATACCTGTGTATAAATGACTCTGCGACCTCCCCAACGCCCTCCCACTCACGAGTTCCACGACGTAGGGCAATTTGAAGGCTGAGACTGCGCAAATCAGTCACCGGAAGTCGATAGCCCCATTTCTTCCAGGCGGCCACCGCACGGCAACCACGACAGCAGCGGTGCGTCCTTCCAGCCTAGTAATGAAGCCATCTTGCATGGCATCGTGCCTCAGAAAATTCGATGCCCCGCATCCAGGGTATCAGTCGGCCCTGCTACGCGACTGACGCTGTGCGGTGAGCAGGAAGGCGGCACCTGATCGGCTGGCGGCAGGTGCTGCGCTGGCGGGCAGCTACGAAGAG